CCTACAATTTTGCATAATCAAGTAAGCTGTTGACATTTTTAACAGCACTTGTGTTTATTGCTGAGATAGAATTGAACAGTTCATGAAGCATTGTTTAATAGTTATACTGCAAAAATAAAAAATGTGAGAAGGGTTATTTTTGTTTATATCTTGATTTGATTTTTTTAATTGATTCTAAAAAAATAGACTTTTTGTAGCTCAGTGAAAAGGTGCATATTTAGTTTTGTTTTCTCCATTTCTTTTTTTATTTTTTATTTTTTTTTCAAAAATGTTCTTAAGCTAGATAAAAACCTTTTTGGGGGGGTAACTCTTCAGTGATATGGTGCTAATGGTGGCAGTGTCCTAAAGAGTAGATTTTTGTTTCAGACTGTTTATCTCTTAGGGTAATTTTAATTTTTTTAAAAAAATATTAGGAGTTCTGGGTTTGTTCTCTTACCAGATCATTCAGGCACATGGTGGGACAGTGGACCCTACCCTTACAAGCCGATGTACTCATCTTCTTTGTGAAAGCCAAGTCAGTAACATGTACGCTCAGGTAAGCTATTCATCCATGCTTTCCTTTTATTACTGAAAAGGTAGGGCTTTTCAGGTGTACTTCATGCTTAGATTGCTAGTGTAACATTAAAATGTTTCATGATCTGCTTTTTTATGATGTGTGATGTGACAGACTTTCATAACGCATGAAGTAGATTTATTCCAGAGAACACTGAGAAAGATGCTGTGAGAAGGACGATCCTGAAAAAGTAGAGGAAAACAAATTATTACAATCAAAGCTTTGCATTGTAGAAAAATTTTATAAAATAAAGATCTATTTTGGTTTTTAAAAGCTGTTTATGCACGTCTTCATAGGCTTTAAGAGAAAGGAAGAGGTGTATTACGGCACATTGGTTGAACTCAATCTTGAAGAAGAAGAAAATGGTGCCACCTCATCGAGCCCTTCATTTCCCAGTGGCATTTCCACCAGGAGGAAAGCCATGCTCTCAACATGTAAGAAAAAAAGCTTACTTCTAAAGAATAGCTTGCTTCATTGCATGAGCAGTATTAAAATATAGCTAGAAAGTGCCTACTCAAAGCAACATGCACATTTCTTTTGTCTAGGAAGAAAAGCTTCTGTTAAATCTTAAGGTCCTGTGTTGATGTGGTGCATAATACCGGATGATTCAGAGTGCTTTGCAAATCTTACTGAGTGCTGAGTGCTGAGGTGCAAGGATTACATGAGTTATGCATAGCAAGATGACAGGAATCCAAGCTGCGTATTTTTTATACTAACGGCATGTCTAACAGTATATGCTTCCTTCACCATAAACCAGTATTTTGAGGGGATTTTTGGAGGGTTTTTCTTTTTCTGGATCAATACCTAGCAAATGTCAAAAAAGGAAACCGCTGCTGTTAATTGGAGAATAGGACGTCACAGTTCCAGTAGTCTGCAGTGAGGAGCACGGGGGAAGCTGAATTTTGTGGGGTTGAAAGATAACCTAGGAGTTGAATTGGATGCATCTTGAAATACACTGTGCAATATAAACCAAGATCCCCAAGTATGTCTTGCCATTGGATTTCTTTGTGCTGGATGCAGAGGTACAGGATGACGGCCTGGCTACAAGCCTGTTCTAAAAGACATAGGGAGAAATACAGGTTTGGGAAAGTCAGAATGTAGCAATATGCATGTGAACACAGTCGTTAGTAGTAAATGTAATAGTGAAATGCTCTTGCCCTTTCCTAAATAAAAGGAGAGAATGACAAAAAGGAAAACTTGGCAAGACTAAGGATAAGAGCGGAGGAAGTGGAATTACAGTTCACCACCTGTGGTCAGCTGGCACAGTTTACTTGGCTTCATGGCAGGGTAGAGCAGAGTGTTCAGGAGACTTTTAAAAGTAGAGTAGGGCAAGTAGGTATAAGCATTTCTCTATCTTCCTGAATATAAACAGCAACAGAAGAAGGAGGCGAGACGTGCGAGAAGAAAACTAGCTGTGAGCTCTTTGATAGTAGAACTGTAGTCTTTGTAAATGAGAAAAAGCTGACCAAGAGAATGAAAATGATTCTTTCCGAGTCAGAACTAGTGCTAGAAACCTGAAATCTTTGTGTGTAGACAAGTCACTTTTAAATTCTACTTTGTGTCCTACAAGCCATGTTTTAATTAAGTGCTTGTATACCACAGTGATGATACCGTATATTTCATTGTAATATAA